CCCTTCCTGACTTTTTTCGAATCGACCGCATTTCCGGGTTCAACAGCTGCAAAATTTCGTCCGCTACTTTTGCTGTCTCCGATTTTCCTCCCTCCCTGCAGCACATCATGAGGCATCATTCGGTTATGCTAAGGAACTATATTTTAATAATCTGAGAGCATTCCCTAGCTTGCGGTCATTGGAACACTGCATTGCGATTCATACTGAATCCGCAACTCGATCCACAGATCGACGGAAAAACGTCGACAGCAAAAAAGTGGATCAGTCTAAACGTCAATCGACCGAAACATCCATTGGTCAAAAAGATGACCAGTTGTTACTGATGATATTTAGTTAAACATTTTATACTGGTGATATTACTATTTTGCGAAACTCTTGCGATATTCCTTTAGAAGAGGTATCCAGACGATTGAATCTGCTTTCTATGATCTGCTTTGATTCCATCCGCACTGAACATATGACCACATTCTCCGGCTCCGGATCCGGAAAAAACTATTGTGCCCCTCGTAGCTCCGGCTATTGAATGTTACTGTGACATTTAACAACCGGTGATGAGGTTATCTTGAATAGTGAAATTTGTCCTTTTGTATGGGATGATCACACAGCTAGGTTTTTCTGTTGAGTGTTTCGTTGGGAAACTTTGTATGGAAGTAGCATGTAAGTGTTCATGCTGCTTATTTCTGTAAAAATCGTACATTCGAAGGAAAATGAAATTTAATGAGTTTGGATTCCAGTTTTATTTACACTGTACCTCATTCAGTTTCATGCAAATGGAATGGAAGAAGGTCGCAGCAACGAATACAGAATGTTATTGAGTCGTGATGGTACGGGACGGACTAGAACTGCTTGTGCTACCAGCTCTTTCTTCATCACGACTAATTACCTGGATTACCTGGATTGGCCAGGCTATCAAACGTTTATAACCTTGCTGGCCACAATGCTCGCGTTTCCGTTCGCACTGTTTTAGCCTTGATAAGATTTATAGTTATTGAAGATATAAGATATAAGATAAGATAAGATCATCACGACTAATAAGAAGAAAAAAGACAGCGGTTTCCATGGAACTTCTGCATTGATTTTATGTTCAGCCAAGCCTTGAAGCTTAGTAATTTCCTGTAGTCGAAAATAACTTCAGCGAAAGCTAAAGACTAATTCTGAGCCTAAAGATTAAGCGGAAGCTAATTAATGAGTTAAATTATTGTCGCTGAGAAGTGTGCCTTAATGACTCAACAGGTGTGGCAATGTAACCCATTCTCATCACTTCGATAACTTGGGGTAATCGACAAATGCATCTACGACGTATCTAACTCCGACATTCTACTCAGTGATAAGGCACGCTTTATCATAGATGTTCGCAGTGCAAATTGTCCGAATGACACATTGTCATAGACTCGAATAACTTTATATCAACCAACGTGACTGTTCATCGTAATGATTATTCAAAAGTTGCATATCTTGTTTTCTCATTCTATTGCTGTGAATGATGAATTAATGCATTTGTTGTTTGTTGCTCAAAGATTATTTTCATTGAATTGATATCTTTTAAAATTTTTCCTTGTGACGAAACATTCCACAAGAAAAGGTTTCCAAAAACAGCTGTATGCGAGAGGCTGATGGATTACGTGTTCCACTATGCGTGTTGTTCAACGCGCACATCACACTGAGTACGTGCACGTAGCCCCGAAACAGCTAAAGTGCTAATTGTAAGAATACCTCACAATGAGTTTGTGCACTGTTCAATTTTTGCATAGCAGAATACAGATGTCTCATATTTACACACAGACGTTTTTTCCGTTCTTATGATTCATTTGACGTTGATCAGCAGTTTGTTTGCAACACTCCTGAACTGCTGTGTTATCAATTGAGATATGATCAAATGGAATCAACAGCTAGCAGTAACGACAATGTCCTAACATGTTTTGCTCCGTTTCCAAAGGAACTCGAAAATGGCGAAGCATCAAGTGGGAATATCTTTGGAAATTTATTCTCGAAGATTTTCTCATCTGCAAAAGATCAGAAAAACACAAAAGATGAAGAAGCTTCAAGTGATGAGCAACAACAGTGCACTAGTGAAATACTGTCGAATGAAGAGAACGCAGATGATTCCGCTTCATTAACTGACACCAATCGCGGTTTGTATACATTCAAATCTTTACTCGTTTGACAGCTGTCTTCCATTTCAATTCACAATTCCAAAACCGTTTAAGTTTCCGTTCCATGAAAACAAGTGTGATATCATCTTTTCTAAATATTTGTGCTCCGCTCTATGAAATATCAGCCTGCGGATGACAAGAGCAAACACTTTAGTTGTCTCTCAATTGCTGAGCGTAATCACCACGATTTTGAGATGGTAATTGAGAAAAATGAATAAGTGCTGTCAATTAATTTCTTTGGCCAAAAATTCTTATTCACCATCAGTTCAGTTTTTTATGGATTCATGAAGCATATCGTTCTTGTTTCAGCGTTTTGGAATTTATTGAGTTCATAGTGCAATTGTTATCAGATAATGAAAGCTTATCTAAATGTATGATGAAGAATATGTTCGACAGGACAAGTGTGGAAGATTAAATGAATAATGAATGGCTCCTGATGGTTTAGAAACACTGTTCCAGAAGATAAAAATGAAGATGGTAGTTCGGGAAGAAGCAGTAGAGCTGGAGGTACTGAAGGTACACGTAAGCTTTCAATTCGAGTATCATCTTTGTTTCGTTCCAGAAGGGCATCGCTCATCGATTACAACAGGTAAGTGTTAAGGCATCACTTTGCAATTTATGTACTTTGTTGTTTCCTTTGAA